CTTCAAAGGGCACAGGATATGTCCCCAAGGCACGAGCCCTGAGTGTGAGCCCTATGAGAGTGCAGACCCAGCCCAGTCCAGATCCATTAACACAAAGAAAACCTTTCTGCTGGGTTGGACAGAGCAGGATCAAGGAGTTCAGGCAGAAATTCTCATGGATTGCAGGAAAAATATAAAGTTTTTCCTCCCAAGAATCCCATGGGAAAAACAAAGACATGGTAAAGGGTCACCACCAGCATAAAAACAACTCGGGATTTGTTTTCCTTACAAAATAAGCTCTTATGAAACTTCAGAGCACTAAAAACATTCCTCTGCTGGAAACACTTTGAAGCAAATAAACCTTTCCCTTCAGCGCCTGCAGCCCAAGGAGCAGCATTTTTCACCTCAGGGCCAGCGGGGCCACACCAGCAGCAGCAGCTCCTGGTGGGTTTCGCAGCCTGGTACAGGACCCAGCTGGCCAGGAGAGCTACAAGGCTCCAACTGCTCTTCCTGCATGCACATCTGTCTGAATAGCGCCGGGCTTATAGCTTGGCCACAGGTTTGGACCAAACAGAAAGCAGGGTGTGAAAGAGACGCAGATCTGTGGTGCCTTGCTGGGACCACAAGGTATGCTAAAGCCCTGCAAGAACAGAGGAGGGAGAAAGTGAGCAAAGCACACCTAATCCAGCTTCTCATAATGGCTTATTCATGTGGCACCACGGAGAGCAATGCAACTGCACCAGCCAGCTGGGGATGTGACCCAGGTCCTGCACACTCTCCTGGTACAATTCAAAGAGCTGCCCAACTCACCAACCAGATTTATTTTCAGATCCTTAAAACCTTGACACCAATGGCACACTGCCATTGCGTGTAGCAAGAGGAGGCGAAACCTGAACATGATGCTGCCTGAAGTTTGCTAGGTGCAGCGAAGGGGAAACGTTTTACAGATAGGAAGCATCTGAAAATCCATGGAGGGAAAAATTCTGGCAGCTTCTCAAGGGGGCAATGTAAAAGGGAGCAACAGCATTTTCCAGGCTTGCAAAGGGCAGGGCAGCAACTGGACCCATGCTAGGTTTCTGCTGAGTGGTGCACTTTGGGTGCATGCTCACCACCAGGTCTCCAGCCGTGTAATGGGAGCCTGCAGGAGAGGACGTGGAGCTAATCCATGGTGTGAAGGGCCCAAGGAACACAGCACTAAAAAAAGAAACGCAGAGCTGCCTGATAGAGTATCTTGGAAATAAAAATAGTGGAACGAGAGCAGGGGGTGTCTTCTCAGTCTCAAGAAGTAGTTCTCTGTGCCAAAGACAAGGAGGAATTGCATGCAGTGCATAAAATGAAATCAGGCGATATCTGAGGAATTCAGGCCTGTCTCTCAGCAGATTTTTCTAATCAACCGCCTCACAGAGGATATTTCAGCATGGTCATTTCCTTCCCGCCCCTCTCACACAGGCTGAGTCGGGGCTCCTCCTTTTATTATTACTTTTTCCCATTTAATTTTAATTTTTGTTTTGCTACTTTCAAAAGAAATAGAAACATATCCCACTTGGCTCTTAAAGGCACAGCATATTTCCTTGCTACTGTGGAATGATCGCAGGCTCTGGCTAGAGCCGCACCTTTAAATGAGAGTAAATGGTGCTCCAGTGGCTTTGAGTTCCCATTGGCTTCTGCCCTCCCCTAAACCGAGCACAGCTGCTCTGCTTCACCCAACTGCTCACCCTGGGGTGGGGAACTCACAAGAAAAGACCACCCCGAACAAGGGCTTTTCATTCTTTGCTCCCTGGAGTCCGTGGATGAATTTTGTAAGTAGAAACAAAGTGCTGGAGGGAGCGTGAGGGGAAGCCAGGGGAAGAATGGGGGGAGTGCGAACCAAACAATGCTTCGATTCTGTCCCCACTGAGGGGCAAGCGCTGCCTCTTTTTCATGCTCCTTGGTTTTTTTGTTAAAAGCTATGCATGGAGGAAAAAAGCAAATAGCTGTTTCCCTTTGTGTCTTGTCCTCTTAATTTTGTAGAGAAGGACCAAAGCCCTTCCACAGTCCTGTGCTGTGTGGGCAAGGCAAGCACATGGCTGTACCCCTTGCCAATCCAGCCAGTCAGAAGGCCGTGTGGCCAGTGTCATGACCACAGCTGCTCAAGATGTGACCAGAACAAGGGACACCCATGCTGCTTCAGAGCACGGCTCTGAGTCACTGTGAGCAGCTGCAAGCCTCCAGCAGCTGAGATGACTGGGGATCAGAAATTGCCATGCTCATAGCTTGTCTGCTGTGCTCCTCCACGGCCATGGGAACATCACTTCAGGCCTCTGGAGCTGCTGCCTCCTCTCCTCCCTCTGCTCATACAGATTGTGACCTCCTGACAGTGTCTGAGTGCCTGTGTGTGCCCACTGGGACACCCCACTGCAGGTCGCAGTGCAGTGAGGGATTGCTCTCTGTGCTGGCACCAAACCAGAGCACTGAACTCAGCAGGAGAAAGGTCTCCTGGCTGAAGGGATTGGGGTCCTGCAATTCGTAACTTGTTAAGGGAAAAGAAAGTGTAGGAGAAGGGTAAAATCCAGAACTGCATGCTAAGATGTCTGATGCAGCACCAGCATACACTCACAATCTTCTAAGAAACTATGGCCAACTAATTGTAGGGAGACTCGGGGGAGAGGAAATGAAATGAAAAATTGAGTCTGAGTTATAAAAATAAGTAATTTTTATCCTACTTGCAGGAGGCTTATATTAATTAAACATTATTACAACGAATGAGATGGGGAGGGTTATTAAGTCTGGGGCTGGCTGTAAGTGTTCTCTCCAGTTGCCTGAGGCTCCACTGATCTCCAGATATTAATCTTCTAAAGCACTCAAATGCTGAAGAGATAAACACTTGAAATATGAAAATGTTTTTCTCCATGGCAGACACTGTGACCCTATGTCACACCAAAGAATTTGTCAGATGTCCACATAGGCTGTGCTTACGGCATTACTGTGTCTCTTAGAAAAATGCTGGGCACCTCAGGATCCAAAGAGAAAAATGATGTGTGCGTTTGTGTGGGGGTGATTTGTGTGTGGAGATGTAGCAGATTCTCCTCTTCCCATATGTTTCTGGAATACATATTTTCCTCTTTAGCACTGCCTACCAGGTGTTGGCTGCACGGCTTTCCAACTGGCTGCCAGCGCTGCCAATCTGGCCAGCGCCTCTGCCAGGTGGCTAACAGGTTCGCCTGAATGTTTGCATCTCCAGACTCAACCTCACCGGGGTGACTGGGAGAGCTGGGAGGAGCCTGAGGCACGCACAGCTCCCTGGGCATGCGGTGTGCTGACACTGGAGTCACCAGGCACAGGGCAGAGCTGAAGCCCAGAACATCAGCCAGCTCTCCCTGATGGAGTCTCGGGTTTCATAAGCAACGAATGAATGTGAAGAGATGTCACGGTGCCACAGGCTACTGTCACATGGAAACCAGAAAATGTCCTTCACGCAACTCATGCCACAAAGTCGAGAACAGTAAGGAAACGGCACTAGTCCCAGAGCAGCTTCAAAGACGTGAAGCTACAGAACGCCATGCGTCAACCACACTGCCAGAGGCAGGCCCCTTTCCAACCCATGCCAACCCATCTCAGTGAGGTCCTCCATAAATTAGGCTCAGCCACACACATGCAAATCTTCTGCTTTCAAAGCAGAGAAAAAGAGCAAAAGTCAAACAGCAAGTAGCTGGCATATTTCTGCATTCTTAGGGCTTACATCATCCTTCACTGAGAGGAGGCTGAAATTCAGCCTATGCACGCCCAGAGTGCAGAATAGCTGAAAACTGTAGGCAAACCGAGCAACATATGGGAGGCAGAAAACACACCTCTAACAAAAGAGGAAGCGCATTCTGGAGAAAAAAACATTGGGTCTTGTAGGGGACATTTGGATCAGGATGTGGAACAAAGCATGGACCAGCCTACACAGTCACTGGGGATTCAAAACCCAGTCTCTGCTTCAAGACTATCTCAAGAGGATAGTTAGTACAACTCAGTGCCAGCAGTCACAGTCCTATAAATAAGTCATGAACCCATAAAACAAAGCATCTGAAAGCTTCCACAAAAGAAAACATTCAGCTTTGCACAGCCTTTGCAACTCCTGATAGCTGTGCATAATCAGTCATCCTGTTCACAAGGAAAAAGGCCCATCAGCTCCCTCTTCCCTACTTCACTGTGACATTAATCATCTTACCAGGCACAGTCTCGGGACTTGGTTCAGAGTTGCCCATCCAGGTGCTTGCAGACTGAAAAGACCACGTGTAGCCCATTGCCAAGTCATGTGACCAACCACACAGGTCTTCAGGGGGATCAAAGTTGCAGTTGAAGTTTGCAGGAAGATGGAAATCTTAAAAGCAAAACAGAAAGAAAACAAACTTGGATTAAAAACAAAATAATCCACTAAAATGGTTAGCAAGTCATAAATACTGAAGAAAGCATGAAATCTCACTCAGACTGATGCTTTTAACCTATCTCACATTTCGTCAGCTCCAGGGATCAGTCTTAAGTTCTGCATCATGAAAATGCCCACTCCACATCCCGCAGCTAATCCACCAAACTAAGCAAATATAAAAGCAAGCTCCGAACACTTCTAGACTCCAATCAGCACCTTTTCCTCATCCCCTAGACTGGTCAAATATTAAATGCCTTCTTAAATGTCAGGGAGGAGTACTTCCTGAGTGTCCCTGTGCTCCTCAGTTCCTGCTCTGGCTCCAAACGGAGACTCTCAAGTGCTCCAAAATCCCAGCTCCTGAGTGACAGATCTAGCCACTTGCACCAGACGGGAGCTGTCTGTCAACATGGCGAGCTGTCACTCATCGCTTCCTACCTTCTCATAGAAACGTTACCAGGGGAAATGTGGGGCCACTATGAGCTCAAGCTCTTGGATTCTGAGTGAAAGGAGACAGCCTCTATTTCTAGCTCTGCTATGGACTCACCACATGGTCTTTGGGTGTGCCCTTTAAGTTTTAAGCTGTGAAATAGGAGCAGAGCAAATTCCTCTGTGTCAAGAGCTTTAAAAGCTCTGGATAGCCTCCCTGCAGAAACAGGTCTGTGGGCAGGAGGGCACATGCCAAGGGCTGCATGTAGCAGCGAGGCAGCTGCTGGCTCCCTCAGTGGGAGAAGCAGCCATAAGGCACGGAGGCTTGCAGAGATGGCCTGAGATCATCCCAAGCACTCAGCGGACATGCACGTCAGAGACCAATTATAGGCTGGGTTTTTCCTGAGCAAAGAGGAAGTTCTAAATTACAGTGCCAGCAAACCGAGCGATATCCAGAAGGAGGTGAGTGACTCAAGCGATAGGCATCAGGGAACTTTGCTGCGAGGGGCACAGAGCTTTCTTTCACATTCTCATTTAGAAATAAAACAATGCAGATCATGGATCCTTTTATTCCAACCTAATCTCATACCCTGGAGAGCAGCATTGTTTCTGTTTGGCTGTCATAAATCTGATTGTCGAGAGAAACACACTCATTGTTTATGAAGTATGAGAATGAAAATTGTTGCTAAATCTGAGTGAAGCTGACATGGAGGCTGGTTCCTTGCTCCAAAGAATACTCCACTCCCTCTTGCACTGGACTTCACCCAGGAACCATCTTGCTGCATAGACTGTTACTGGCCTAAATTCCTCTCGGCAGCTTCCCAAGTGCCTCATTGGTAGCAGGGTTGCAAAGGCTCATCATCGAGGCAAAGAAATTAGAATCAGGCCCTTTGAGCTGCTTTTGTAACTTGCATTTCCAGAACTGAACTACAGCAGAATCCCAGTGGGGGGGATGAAAAAGACAATTAATCTTCTTTTTTTAATTTATATATTTAAAAATCCATTAATTTTTTTCTCTGGGACTTGAAGATGCAGTAACAGAAGTCCTAGGAACGATCTCAAAGGACAGCATTTTGTCATGAGATTTCTCATTGCGGTCTTTGTGTAAATGCCCAAGCCTCACTGCTGAGGCCCAGGCCCTGCTGCTATGCCCAGAGGTGTGCCTCTTCTGTACGCTGTGCCGTGCATCCAACCCTACAAGGCTCCGCCATGCCCTCCCTCTTCATCTGATCTTTTCCAGATTTAGATGCTCACCCTGCCCTTGAAAGGAGCAGAAGGGTAAGATGTCTGTTTTACAGGTAAGGATCTGAGGCAGAGAGGACTAGTCTCCCTGTTGCATCAGCTCTTTATAAGCAGAGTACATAGCCTAAAACGTTCAGCCTCTTCTACAATCAGATGAGGCAAGCAAGCACCACAGATACCAAACCATCCTCCATATATCTGACAGCCATCTAAGAAAGGGGGGGGCAAAATGCTGCTTGCAGCTTGTATTTCACCCCTCCTGCCTGCACAAGGAGCCCAGTCTGTCCTTCTAATTTTTAAGCATTTGATATTAAACAAGATGATCCTCACAAGACAGGTTGTCTTCAGCACACCTGCCTTCTCTGCATGTTGTGATTTACTCCCACGTTTGTGATCTCTGCAAAAGGAGCCCTTCATGACAGGCAGTCTGAATCTTTCCCTGAATCACCTTCTGAATTTATGACATGCAACCAGAAGGATCTGGTACAAAAGAGGGCCCTCAGTGAGCTGCTTCAGGTCATGTAAGGAAACTGGGAGAGCAGCTCTGTAAGTCTTATACCCTAGGGACTAAATTAGTTGCTATCTGTCTTGCTCTTGCATCCTTCCTTGATATAACTTATCAGATTTTGGGTAGTTTTTTTTTTTAAATCTCAATCTATTGCTAATAACATTACTGAAAGCTTTCCAGGAATCAGGCCCATATACAGGAGCAAATAGGAAGATAAGAATGCTTTCTTAGCTCTGAAACCATCTTTTACTGAGATAAAGATGTACTTTCCTGATACATACCTTCCTCTTCTCCACAGCTATCACCACACTCAGTTGCCTCTTCATCAGTTGGGTATGGGGTGGTGGTCTCTTCGCTCTTCAAAGTGGGCACCAGCGTCTCTGCAGTGGGCTTCACATCTGCAAAACAGGGAGTAGAGATGCTGTGTGCAATAGGTGGTACAAGAAGGCCAGGCAATGGGAAACAAAGCAAAAAGTCTTTTTCTCATGTTCTTGTAATGGCAGGAAGAGACAGGACAAGAGTACCACAAAACTTCCGTACGCTACAAATGTCAGTGTGGTTTGAACTTGGTGTGAACTGGCTGTTTCCATAGGGGGGTTCCTTTGATTTAGAGTCCCTGTTGGACAGTGCTCTCCTCCAGACATACATGCTACTTTCTTTCTTCATTTTTTAATCTACACGGGTGTTGGCAGTACTCTTGGCTGTAGTTACTGGATAACAGAGATCACAGGCAGAACATCTCTTCCTTTCATAAAGGCATATGACACACGAAAAACACACACGCAACATTCCCACCAGTTGTGCCAATTTATAAAACAAGTCACTCAAACCCACAAATGACGTAACCACAAGCGGACCCAGAGAATCCCCTGGTGTGCTCTGGCTCACTGCAGAAAGCATCTGGTTTCACACTCCAGGCTCCTGACTACGCTTTTAAAGTGTCTCTGTCCAATCTCCCTCTCTCCAACATGGCCCGTGTGAAACAACCTCAAAGCAGGTGTCAGGGGAAATTTAACCAAGAAAGAGAAGGATATTAAGATCAACAGTAAACGACATTAGATTCCAGCAGGCTCTCCTTTTACGGGTGCGCTAACTGGAGTACAGCAGCCTTTATTCTTTCCTCTTTCAAAAAGAGGCTGCTTTGCTCACTTGTGTGTGATTGTGTTGCTTTGTCGGCACCCTTCAGGATATCATTTAATAAAGCCAGAAGCAGGAGGAAATGGCTAAATACATTGAATATTTTCCATAGGCTCCTTTCTGCCCTTTTATTTTCCTGTTATTAAACATGCTGCACAGAGACTCAGGTTTTTTTTCCCTTTTTTTTCCCGGTGGTTGTCTTTCGTTCAAAGTAAAATACCAAATAACCTCAAAGTCTTTTAATTTGTAAGTTCAAATTTGTTACAACCCCATAAAACTCCAAACACAACCAAGAAGCAAATTGCAAGCAGCCAGGCACAGAAAAATGTCATAAAAAAGAAGGGGGGTGAGGGGGAGAAAGCAGCAGGTGAAGGCAACGTATCAAAAGCTGCATGTTATTTAGAGCCGGTACATTTTTTAGGTTGTTGTTCTTGTATATTGAGATTTATAGCTGAAATGTGACAATGTGGAAGGACCTTGAAAGCCAAGTCCCATACGGGATACAGATGCTGAGAGGATGTAAATCAGCAGTGTTGCATTGCCCCAGACAAGCCGCAGAAATATATCTTGAAAAATCAGTTACCATGGCAGAGCCGCAACAAGATGGTTACATGAGATAATGAAAATAGCAGGGAGGACAATGCGACGTGTGAAATGGAAAGTGAAAAACAGTGGTCTCTTGCTCGCTTTCTCTCTCCCTGGCCCAGCAAGTGTCTGTGCAACTGGTGGTAACGGATGATCAAAATGCAAAGTCACCGAGCAATTGAAACCAGATGTTCGGAACTTCAAAGGAGAGAAAACCAGCTGCAAGTGAACATTCATCAATCTCCACTCTTCAGAGGAAAAAAATTGGCAGGTCTTTGAAAGAAGCCTATTGCAGACTGCTTGCTTCACTGTGTTTGAGCTACTAGCCAACTAGTTTACAGGCCTGGTTGCTGCCAATTTACCTGGTTGATTCTGTAATTAAGATGCTCGTTGCTGATAAGAAATGAAAACAGCTGGGCAGGGCACACATTGGCTTTGGCCCTCATTTGAAAATATTCTTAATCAGCTTGCTTTAATCCATCTCTTAATCTTGTTTCCAAGCAAGTGCAATTGCCTGAGTCTTCACAGCCAGTTCTGTAACACGCCTGAATCCTCCCAGCAAAGGAGGGCTGTGTTGCCTGCATCAGGGACCGCATTTAGCATGCAGATAAAGCCATGGGCTATCTTTGCTCCCCAGGTTTCATTGTTGATCTAAACACTCTTTGTAACATGGTGAATCCACAAGATTACAAGCCCGGCTCTGATTACAAAGCGGAATGCTTGTAGATCAATAAAGCTAAAAAATATTTATGACTTGGCAGTTGTGTTTTAAACATTACAACGTGCAAATGATTAGACAGCCACACTGGGAAATGACCATAAAGCACCCTGCCTGGAAAAAACATCGGCTGTCGCTGCTGATACTGAAATTGAACACGGACACAGCCATAAAAGAAAATTTGGACTAAAAATAGGACTAGAAATGGAGAAAGTTGCATTTCTTTGGCTTTTTAATCTGAGGGAGTGCTCTGGAGGGGCTGACACGGACATGGTCAGAGTAGAGCATGGCATCAGGGTACTGGGGTGTGATGCGTGTGCCAGCAGTGGGCCAGAGATCTGGCAGCCAGAAAACGCCTGGGAGCTGCGGGAAGCAGTGGTGTGGGGGCTGCCCAACCACTTCTTTGCAGAGCCTCAGCTCCCACCGCTCGCACGGAAGCCTCTGTGCCTGTCATCCCAAAGATGTCATAAGGTTTAAATTAAGTTTTAATATTGAGGTTTAGATTGTCTACAATATATCTGCAGTCCAGGGAAAGATTTGCCGTAGATTTCAAAGGTGACAAATTATCATTGTTAATCTTGTGTATATGTGTTCTGTACTTGCTGCTAACGTTTGTAATGCATCACACAGAACTTCACAGGAGGAAAGGCTAGTAACCACTACACAAAAGGCTGGAAAAAAAAGCTCTGCGTCTTTTAAGCTTCTGAGAATGGGAATTCTTGTAAGAAAATGCTTTGTACAGATGTGTTTATAAAATGGAAATCATACCTCTTTATCGCTGACATCTGGACACCAGATTTAGATTTAAGCGGATTATTAAAATAATTAAAAAAAGAAAAAGAAAGGACCACTAGCCCCTGGCACTGAAAAGCGTCAGACACAATGAACTGTTGGGTGCATTTTTGGCTTTTGGGGATGAAACCAAGGAGCAATCAATCATGACTGAGCCTTAGAGGGGTCAGAGGCACAGCCTCTATTGATCCCAGTGAGTGTGTTAGACAGTTTTCACTTCTGCGTTAAAAATAATGGCATCTGCAAGATGTTTCACTTGTGAAAAACAGGTGGGCAAAAAAAGTGAACAAACTTCCCTGTTCTTAGGAATGTTGTAAAGCTAACTCCCCAGCCTTCTCTGCAGTAGGATTTCCACATGGGGTTTGATGAGAGGGATAGCTCTCTTTTCTTAGTAAAACCTTATTGGGGCAGCTCAAGATAGCTGTAGCAGTCCCAGCACTCCACTTTTGTGCCTCTGCTCCTCTTCCTACTTTTTTGTCTTATTCATTTGGGTTGAAAAGTGCATATATTGTCTAACTAACACTGGGAGTGCAAAAGCCTGCACAACATCCAGATAAAAGATTCAAAAGGAGTAGAGGAGAGGCAGGGGTAAATCCCACATGTGGCTCCTTGGGAAAGCTTGAATTGGCATTCAGGCATTGCACTACATCCCACTTCAAGGCCAGCCCCAGACCTAACTTGCTTTTAAGACGGAAGAAAAAAGATGGGCTCATGCCACTCCTGCACTCATGGCTCCCTGCCCCCACATGAGCCTGAGGTGGGTCAGCAGGGAGAGAAATAACCTTACTCTTGTCTTGCTGGCTCAGCCCCTTTCACAACCAGTGGGTGAAAGCAGAGGTGTCCTACCTGTCCAGTCACATCCCAGCACTTCCAGACGCATTCCTATTCCTGCTGGGGACCACCTTTCTGGGTGCACTCGGACGTACTGGGCAGGAACAGGGTCAAACCTCCGGATTTCAGGGATATCGTAATGGATGTTGCCTTCAAAGAGCTGCAGAGAGAGGATAAGTTCGTGACACATACATCCCACCTGCTCTCCACCAGCCTAGATATTTGGGTCTGGCAGGACACAGCCATGATTTGAAATAGTTTAGCTGTTCAACTGCAAGGCAGTGAATACTGCTGAGCAGCAACTGGGCTGCTCCTCCTCAATTTCAAGAGGACCAAATAGGCTGTTTCCAAGAAACTTGCATGATCTCCCTTGGCCTCTGCTTCATATCCAGGGACTAGATTCTGATCCAAACCTCACCAGGAAAGCGTGTGGAACATCCACTCACTTCATGTATAAACAAAATCAGATTTGTCCTTTGGCAAGTAAGAAAGCTACTGCATGTTCTAGGACAGTGCAAACACTCAGTTTTCTGTACAGTTGTAAGTACTGCCGTTTTTCAGCATGAGTGCATGAACTGAAGTCTGTGGAGAATAAACAATAAACACAGGGCTATAGATAGCATCAGGTCTTCTAAAACTCGTTTTTATGATCAGGAAAAATTAAAACATACCTAAACTTTCAGGAGCAGATGAGTTTGCATAAAAACAAAATTCTTGGCAGTAGCAGAGAATTCATTTATTCCTCAAGCCCCCTACCACCTCCACAATACTAAGCAGAAAGATTATGGCTAGCTCCAACAACATGGGAAAATTACATGAGATTTCAGGCTTATGCTGGTGTGGTATAGAGAACTTAATATAGCAGATTTCCCAAAGATTGTGATTTGTTCTCCCGTTCCAGAGCTGCAAGACTGAACAGTAACATCTCTCCCCTTAAAATATGCAAATAGTTTGTGTCAAACAAAATTTGACACATTATCTTGTTGGCTCTGACTTGCAGAAGCTGGAAAGAGCAGAAAATATTGTCCACATCCCCATGCCTGGTCTGTAATGAGAAGTGAAGCTACTATCTCTCAGACTAGGTGGAACCTGCATCCCCTAATATAGCTTAAAAGCAGAACCAGGGGATGCAACCTTTCATAGTGACAACTCAAATTCCCAAAATCACTGCAAACAAAACAAAAGCTAATTTTCAAAGACATCATCAGACAGACTGAAGATAGCCAAAAGCATATCACTTTTTTGCAGCTGCTCCAAGCAGTGCTTACCTTGGCCTGCATCGTTTTGGGGTCCTGGACGAATTCCCAGTCCTTTCCATTCATGCTGTA